CCCTAGATCCTCTAAAATCTAGAAATTGTCTCCCTTGTGCTGGGATGGTCAATCTCTAGACACTTCCTCTTTCAAAGCCTGGTGGGCTCAACTCTGTGCACTCAATCACTCCACATCTAATAGCAGGCTTCAACTTACAGTTTATATTCTTTGGGAAACTTGGAAAATAAGGAACCTTTGGACTTTTCAAAGAATCAAAAAGCCTGAAATTTTCATTGTGTAATCTGCCCTGAGTAACTGGAATGAATTCACTTCATCTCGTTCCCCATCAATCTGCTGAGCATCAGATGTGACTTGTTCTTAAGGGTGTATTTGGTATTATTATGTATAATCTTGCCTTCATTCACTATTGTTGTTTTCTGGCTCTAGGGGCTGTGATGCTTCTTGGTTACTCTAGCTTTGGGATCTGTTCTCTGTTGGATAACTTTAGTGTTGGTGTTTGTAACTGCAAGACTACTAGTTCTTCTTGTGCTCTGGATGCTTAGTGCTATGTTGCTTTTGTTCTGTTTAATGGTCCACTGCTATTTTTCTTATAGATTAGAAGTTGGTTAGTTATTGTCTTATTGTTGTTTGCTGTTTTCTTTCTTTCTTTTTGTTCAGATTGGTTAGTTTCTTCAGCTATGCCGTTTAGGGCAGTGGTTGTTGCTTTCTTTCTTTAAGTCTGTCGCTTCGGCAGCAAGGCATAAAGAAACTACTCTCTGGATCACTTTGCTAGTCAATGCCGGGAGTAGATCTTTATGCTTTCTTTTAGTAGGTTCTAGTGCGATTTGGGACACCACTTCGTTCTCCTTTTGGGCATTGTATGGGTTCCTTAACCCGGATTGTATATCTTCATTTGAGCTATAAAACCTATCGTTTAAAAAAAAACATCCTTAATGAAGTAGCTTAGCGAACGATTGATCTCCGAAAGCAGGGCTTCCAAGGCAGTTGCCCTAGACCCAATGTCCAGAGCGGCCCTCCCAGTGTAGATGGTCTGAGCCTGGAAATGGGCAGACGGCAGAAAAATAAGCAAGGCGAAGAGAAAATCTGAGCTCGTTTCAAGAGGGAAGAGATGTAACCTCAAGTCGAGGCAGATATGGGATATAATACTTGTTGATACCCAATTTAGCCTCGATTAATAAATATGCTACACGTGGATATGTATAAATATAACAAGTTCTCTGAGCTGATTATTTAATAACGACCGAGTTCCTAAGTGCCCAAATCGTCCACGTTCGAGCCGAGCAGAATTAATATCATCAGCCTGATCCAAATATCGAGAAGATCCATCTCCGGCAAACACAATAATTTTCGATAAAGTAGACGTCAATCGAAGCCTTCAAGTGTCATGATCGGGTCCCACGATGTCATCTCACATTAAATACTAATGTCCTCTTTTTATCTATTTTTTTAATAGGCCCACTTGTGTAAAAAGGCATATATATATATATATATATATATATTNTATTCCTCCATCTTCTACAACAAAAACCAAAGAAAAAGGAATAGATCTTCATCTCCCGAATATCAATAAAAATGCACATTGATCCAGCACTGATTATTCACAGAAATAGGGTGTATTTTTACGTTGATACAATTTCACATATCAACAATACATAAAGGAGTAATCAGCCAACTCAGTCGGTTTAACGAGTCAAGAAAACTGAGCAGGCTGGCTCGATCAAACATAATCGAGCAAAGAGATCGTAGCCGAACACCACAAGAACAGGAGCCTTTGGATTATAAGGCAACTTGTAAGGGGCTCTGCAGTGGAAGGACAGGTCGATTCTAGGTCCATGGAGGATGTGGTCGAAGATCGACCTGTCGAGCAATTGGCCATTGGATCGACCACATCACAGACTGAGAACAGTCCGAGGATCGACCTAGACTTGGTCGAGCATAAGAGCCTTCGCAGAGACTTCAGAGGAATCTTTACCCCATGTACAGGGGAAACGTGGCGTGACTTGATTGGTCCCCACTGAATAACCGTCTCTGACACATGCACACTGTGTGTGTACGAACGGGTAGACTAGGAAGTTTTGAGCAGCCAGCTTAGCTCATCCAGGCAGCCCTTAGAAGCAGGTACGTGAGCTTTACATTTTGAGCACGATTTTATCCATTTTACGCTGGAGAATTGAGTAAAGCTTATACTGACTTAAGCACCAGAGGCTCTTCCTCGAAAAATCCCTCCGATGTGAGAGTTCTCTGTAGGTACTCGGCGTTCAACCGACAAGGTGGTGGTTTGAGTTAGCCGTTTTTAGCCGGTCGGAGGTTTTGATGTACCATTTTGGCACCATTTGTGGGATTTTCGTTCGAAAGATTGTGTGCAGTGGTTGTTTGAGCTTGGTGCTATAACGGACGGAATTCCTAGAATGAATTAGTAGTCGTCGTTTGATGAAGCTTGGACAACGGCAAGACCGTTCAGAGTTGGCCCTCCTCCGGGCATCACCGGACCTTCGCAGAAGCTGATAACCCCATCACTTGCTCTTCAATGTTAGGGGAGTTCATCGGCGCTCTCAGTGGTGAAGGTAGGCTTGAGCCAGACGGATGAGGCTCGGGCGACAAAAGCGACGATGATGCTACCACCGTCGCAGCGAGATCTGGAAGGAGGCCAGCCTCTTAGAGCAGTGGCACAGACAGTAGTGCCACCAGCAGATGAGGCGCAACGCGCTGGTCAGCAGATAGTGGCGATGACCATGGAAGAGATAGAGCGTATGATGGCCAACACAGTGGCACAAGCAGTGCAGCAGGTGACGAACAACACTTCTCATGCTGCGACCGCACCGACTACGGTGGTAGGAGCACTGTATAACACGGAGGAGGACGTGTCCAGGTATGAAGGAGAAGGAGCTCCACGGGATCGAGAGATGGAGGGAATCGTTGAGCAGTTGCGTCAGCTGCAGGCCAAGGTGGATGGACGACCAGAGGGGCGTGCTCGGGGGCACCTGTTCTCGAGGGAGATATTGGCAGTGCCATTGCCGGTAAATTTTAGGGAGACAAGTTTGGTATTGACGGATCATCCGACCTGTTGAAACATGTGAGGGCGTTCGAGAACATGGCGGTTCTGCACGGGCATTCTTATCTGGTTAGTTGCAGGGTGTTTTTGTTGAACTTGAGGGGAGGTGTGCTCGACTAGTCTCATCAGCTCCCCCCGAGGTCGATTAAGGATTTTGAGGATTCTGCCGAGAAACGGATGAATCAGTATTCAAGTGTAGTGGCCCAGAAAAAAACGTATTTAACTCTGATGGCGATCAGGCAGGGAAAAATGGAATCGTTGCGAAAGTATGTTGCTCGATACAATCAGACGTGCTTGGAGATCCCGTCCACTTCAGATGAGGTTAAGGCAGGAGGATTTATAAGGATCTTACGAGCGAGGCCATGTCAAACTTCCTTGGCAAAAACCCCCGCCCGTACGTATGATGAAGTGCTTAGGAGGTATAAGAAGTATATCAACCTCGAGGAGACGGAAGCGCAGTTCACCAAGTTGGAGGAGATGACCCATCCAGAGGCAAAGAAGGGGAAGGCGAGCTCACCTAAGAGAGGTTCACCAAAGAGGGGATCGCCTAGGAGAGAGGGGCGTGATAGGCAGGATCGAGGGCGTGAGGATAAGTGGAAGGATCGACCTATTTGCAGGAGGCAAGAGGTTCCATAATTTCACACCATTGAATGCTAAGATGAGAGAAGGGTTGGTTTCCACTGAAAAGAAGATTGATGACAATGATGTGACGAGGCCAAGTTCGAGATTCTAGAGGCCGACTCAGTCAGAGTCGAGGAGGTATGTTCGATTTCATAGGGATTATGGTCATACAACGGAGGACTGTCGACACCTCAAGGATGAGATTGAACGCCTTATTCGAGTGGGGCACCTTAAAGAGTTTGTGTACCATGATCGAGCAAAACGGAAGGAAAAGAGGAAGTGTAGGGAGGATTCTGTAGAGAGGAGGGGCAAAGATGATGACGAGGAGGATGATGCTTGAGAGGAACGTGGTGGTCGAAGGGGTAACGGAGATAAGAGGAGGTGTGCAAGTATAGATCGAGCAGAGCAAGGAGGTGAAGGCCACATGAAGAGAGGTAGAATTTACATGGTTTATGGTGGGCCAACGGACAGAGACTGGAACAATGCGAGAAAGGAGCACGCTCGGCAGTGAAACGGAAGAGAGAGAAGGTGGGGATAACTACTTGAATGCCAGTGATTAGTTTTCGAACAGAGGACGCTGAGGGGGTGTTGACGCCTCATAATGATGCATTGGTTATCACAACGGAGATTGCAGGGTTTGATGTGAAAAGGGTATTCATCGACACCGGGAGTTCGGTCGATGTTATGTTTTATGATTGTTTTGCGCAGATAAACAAAGAGTTGAATCTAGAGTTAAAGCCGGTTGTGACGGCTTTGTATGGATTTAATGGAGGTGAGGTGATGTCGTTGGGGGAAGTGAGTTTGACGGTTGCCCTAGGGTCGGGGGCGATGAGAAAAGTGCGAATGGTAAGGTTCATGGTCGTGGGAGCAAAGTCATCTTACAATGTTATCATGGGAAGAACTAGCCTGAATGCTTTTCAAGCTGTGGTGTAGACGTAGTATATGACGATCAAATATCCTGTGGGCGGAAATGTTAGGGAAATTGTAGGAAATCAGCTCACCTCGAGGAGCTGTTACCATACGACGGTGAGCAAA